ATATAAATACAGTAGAGCCTCGAAAACTCAGCACTCGCGATAACTCGGCCACACCCTGGCAGGGCAAAAAAATCCTTAGTTAATTAATTTTCATGATAAAGACAGCTTTATGCCTCATAAAGTATTTTTCTGAGGTCTGTCTTATCAGGTAAATTACTGTACACAGTGTATTCATTAATTTTCATTTTCATGTAGTAAAGGCTCTATGCCTTCATAAAAGACGTACTTTTCCTTTGTTTAAGAGTATTTGGGCAGTTTATTCTTTGTTGTATTCTCAAGTAAACAATACATACAAGTACAGTACAATATTTTCTGAGGAAACACTCATACCTATTTTTTTTAACCACATTCCCGATAACCTGGCATTTTCACAAACTCAGCCACCATTTGGTCCACATTAGGTAGAGTTTTCGAGGCTCTACTGTATTAATACATTAAATTTTTCCATTATTTGTTTCAAAATATGTTTAAATTTCTGTTTTATGTATAGAATAATTCAGAATATAAATAGTATAATTCTTATTTCAACTACTTGTATGATTATTTAAATATAGAAGTGTTTCTTGGTTACTGTGTGATTATAATTAAATTATTCCTATTCAGTACTTCTAGAGAAATTTAGCAGTCCAAATGCAGCCAAGTCTGTTACACTGACATTTTATGATATTTTGGTTAACCAAATAAAATATTCACAACTGTTATTTTATTTCAATTTGAATATAGCAACAAAAATATCCAAGCATACACATCAGAAAATTCTATAGCATTCAGCATACTTTCCATAAAAATCCATTTTATGGAAAATATGCTAAATTTTATGAAATTTTAATGCAATCCTTANCTTTAGGAATTGAATATATAATCAAAGAAAAATAGATCATTATTCTATAGAAGAAAAACAATGAATTACCCTAGAAAACTTTTCTAAGATGATTCATTATTAGAATCCTAAACATTTTTTAAACATTATTAGATTATTTTATTTTATCCTGTTTTATTTTTAGGATTCTAATAATGTTTTAAAAATGTTTAAAAAAAACCTTTTGCATGTAACAACCACATTGACTACTTTGTTCTTGATTTCTTGTATAAATTCACAGTGATTAAACAGTTCTGGATTCTGTTCAACATTCAACTTTTTAAATATTTTTGCACAGTTCTAGAAAACTAATTTTCTTATCCAAAGTATTTTTAAGTATAATATTTGTAATTTATTTACTCCAAATCTTTACTTCCAAATATCCAATAATTATTTTTATAAGTTTAGAGTAACTTTACAAGATCAACAAAAATAGTTCAAATTATTTAAGTATATAGATTTAAATTAGTTGTGCTTCTTTTCTGTATTTGTCAGATTAGAAATATCTTCTCTATGAATTTATCTCATCCTTACAATATGATAATATTGTAAGGATGAGATAAATTCATAGAGTAAGGATGAGATAAGGAAGGTCAAGAGTATCAGATATATTACAGAGATAAGAATATTTTATATATGAATATTAAACATAAAAAATATGAAAGTATTTTCATCTCTACAAATATATCTAATGTTTTTGCTTATGTAGTATTGCATTTTAAGTTTAACCATATGTATGAGATGACTTTTTCAGGAGGAAAATGTTTTAGAGATAATTTTTTTCAATAGAAAATGCATATGATGATTATCATTTCAATAAAATTTACTGTTTTTATTATTGCACAGTATCCAACACTTTTAAACAAATGTTTTTTATTAGTTGTTTAAAAATAATTGTATTTTGCAACTAAATGATTTTTATAAGCAGTTTTAATGCCTGTTGTTTAATACAGTGGAACCTTGCTTAACGAGCATAATTTGTTCTAGAATGTTACTTGTAAAGTGAGACACTCAGTAAGCGAAATAATTTTTCCCATATAAATTAATGTAAAATACAATAATGCGTTCCATGCCGAAAAAGATACTCAAATATTTTATGTATAATGTTTATTCAAAGAAAATTATACAATATACATTGTTAAGGAGCGTGAATCATCATCATCTTTTCTTCTAGTGTGGAATGAATCAACCTGGAATGCAAATTTGATTTGCAGAAAACAAAAAAAATCGAAATACAGTAATTTCTAATATAAAATTATAGCCTTTACATAGTCCAAGAATTTGACATATTGTTTGTCATGTTTATTATATAATGGGTTGTTGATGTTTATATGTAATATGTCTGAACACAAGTTTGGAAAAATGTGTGATCATAAGTGACACCAAGATGCTAGCAGAACAATGTTAAACACATATTGTTGTAGCAGGCACACAATCTGGGACTTTCCCTCTCCTCGTCACTTGTTATGCAAAATGTCACTCATTAAATGAGTCATTTTTTTACAATTTGCTTTAATCGTTATGTGAGGTTCCACTGTATAAATATTGCTAAAAATTTTTAACTTGATATTTGATAAAATCGCATAACAGTTTACAATTATTATTTAGGTTCCCAAATGTACAGATAGATACCTAATATATACATATACAAGAAATGTAAAAATTACAAAAATTACTTTTACAAGTATAGGTAAAAAAGTCATAAAATTTAAATAAAACACAATAGTATATATTATGAAGTGAAGAGATAGCAGAAAATGAGAGTGTATTTTTTGGCATAAAGATCTGAAAATTTGGCTATTAAGATAAATTTTTCATATAATTCTGTTTACTATTGTATAATATACAGTAGAACCCCTCTAATCCGTCACCTTTGGGACTGGGGGTATGGTCGGAACGCAAAAAAGGTCGGATTATCAGAAAAAAGTAAAATAAACAATCTTCCCCTTTGTCCAGTCTTTGTAGCACTGCTAATTTTTCATTTAATGAAAGAGTAACGTGTTTACGTTTCACTCCTGACATGTTAAAAACACGCACAAAACTGTACATGTACACACAATGTAAAACATATACTGTAACGAACACAGAAAAACGCCACGGACGGCGAGTCACCGACGAGTCGGGACAAGTTTCTCGACTCCGACCACGGTCGGATTAACCGGAGTGACGGACTAGCCGAGGGCAGACTAGAGGGGTTCTACTGTATACCAATATTTTAACTTAAGACTATATATCTTATATCTAATATGTATATTTAAAATTTGTTGAAAAAAATGTTAAAATTTACAGAATAGTTTAATCTGTACTAGAAATGTCTTTTTATATAAGCATATTATAAGGAATATATGTTATTTTGCAATAATTAAATAAATTATTGAAAAATAACATACAGTAATAATCACAAATATAAAGAATATATCTGATTCAAGAAGTTTGTTACAGAATGATGAAATACATTTCTCTAGTAAGTCTTTTACTGTAAAGTTTTTGCAGCAACAATAAATTACAAATAAACAATGATAATTATCATTTTAAGCATTGAGATATTTTTTGATCAAATGATGTATATGTTATTGTATATCTTTTATTCTCTAAACTCTCTTTAAATATAATTATAAAATAGTTTTGTTGAAAATTAAAATATAAGTCTAAACCAGGGGTCACCAAACTTTCACAGCAGGCCAGGTAACTGAGAAAATAACGAGCACAGGCCACATAACCATAACGATTTTGTTCAATACAGTATACTGAATACACAAAAAATAAAGACAACCAATATATTTATTTACCAATACACAAACATGATGGCTGCAGCAAGCTTGTAATCTCTTTTCTTAGAAACTTCATTGCAGATACTTACACAAAAAGCACTCTGATATCCAAATTTGCAAAAAGTCACCAAATTTTTTATTTCACTGATTTCTGATTTTCCTAAATATTATATTACTGTCAGGTGCAAAAATCAGATTGGACCAATTTTGGCATTTTTACCTAAACTTACTATGTAGAAAAATTAAAATAAGTGTATCTACAATCTATGATATTTCCATATAAATAATTATATTTTAGCTCATTTGTGGCACAGTGTGGCGGCAGGCCGTAGTTTGGTGAACCCTGGTCTAAATGAATAGAAATTAACCAGGTGGAAATATTTCAAACATCTCATATAAGCTATTGATACCATAAAAATCTTCATTAAATTATGAAATATTTTAGTTGCTAAGGTGGCTATAGTAGTATAATTATCAAAATTTTTCAATGAAAACATTTATCTATTCATTTTGGTAATTGTATTGTTACTGATATTAGATAATTTTATTCTGTTCTTTATTTAAATTTAGAATTATGTAAGTTAAAAACTGTAACAAGTACAGTACATAACTATTTTTAAAGGAAATTGTTATTTCAGCTTTAGTTTGATTTTTTAAATTTACTTTTATTAATTTCATCATTAATGAAGTATTTTAATTTTAACAATTTAAATATTTTAGCCTACCTTTTATGGAAATGATGAAAATTCAAACTCTTCTCAAGATGATGTGCCAAACCAAACTACAAATGCTCAAAATATGAATCTTACTTCTAAGGAAAATTCTACAACAATTAGCATTCCTTCTAAATGTTAATTGGTTTATAAAATATTATTTAGTGAAAAATGGAGGATTAGAAACTCTCAGATAAGCACTTTTTTTTGTACTATACAATACCCTAGTCAAAGATTTGAAATGTATGTTATGTTATTTTAAAATAAATTTTAAGTCTATCAGATAATCATGTACTATTCTAATTGAGAAACTGGGGTCAAATCTGATCTATAGAATCTCATAATTCAGTTCAAGATGCTGGGCAGTCCCACTTCTGAGTGATACTCTCTTGTAATGAGTGAAATAAATATATGAAATATATTTAGCTATAGTATTATGCAGCTATTGTAACACTTAATTTAAATAATAGTAATGAGCTAAAGGGACGTTTTTTCATGTACAGTGGGTACCTCATACTTCAAATGTTTCAAAGTTCAAATGCTAAATTCATGAGAACTTCAATCCAGAGTTCAAATGATGCTTTTGTGTTCAAACTGTAAACAGAGTGAAAAAATGCACTCACCTCATAAATGCCATATGTTGTGTGCTCAAGTCATCTCTTACTCTCATTGTAAAGTATCTTTTGTGTTATGTTCATGTGTTTTCAGCACTTGTTTCACTTTGTTTTTGGTATTTAATTATATATGTAACCCCTTCCTATTAACCATTGCAACTAAGAAAAGTAAGGAAACAACAAAGTGTAAGAGGAAATCATACTATTTACAATTGACAAGGTGAAAAAGGAACATTGTGAGGCATGAAAGTGGTACATGTATGGCAGATCTGCTGGCCATATTTAAGATGCCAAAGTTGACAGTGTGTGACCTTTACATGCAATTTTTATTTTGTTATATAATATTTACATATTTTATTCATTGTGTAATTTTCATGTTTTAATTTATTATGTAAGACACTTAATTGTATTATTTTTACTTTAAATTATGTATATTTGCTGCTTAAATTTATCAAAATAAGTACTGTTTGGTGTCTGGGAACAGATTAACTCACTTTCCATTATTTCTGATGGGAAAAATTTATTTGGACTTTGAACAAATCAGTTTAATGGCCTCCTGAAACAAATTAAATTTGAAAGTATGAGGCACTACTGTACATCACTCCATGATTTTCTGCTGAATTTTCATTAGCTTAAATGTAGTCTGTAAATAATCAGGATTTTGAATGCATTTAGCTAAAAAACAGGCTATAGTTTATAATATAAAGCAGCAATGTTCCTAAACAATTTTTCTTAAATTATCAAAAAAATATAGTAGAGCGTCGTTTATCCGAATCAATTGGAGACTGGGGTTGTTCGGATAACTTATTTTTTGGATAACCGATTGTGCAAAAAAATATATTAACCTATCCCGTGTTGAAATTTTTCTCCGTTGCGTGTCGCTTCGCGTTGAATTTTCATCGATGTTAAGCCTAACGTAAACTTTTTAAAATAATAATTGTGGCTATTGTATCGTTAAAAATTATTTCTTTATGTTTTACAAATGAAATAAATACATTGAAAAATATAAAAAAATAAAAATTATACTTTAGGTTGACTGAAATTCTTTCGGATAAACGATGCTCTACTGTATACCATTTGGAAACATTAAGGATTTTCACAAAGTAGAATTATTATTATTATGTAAATAATAATAAAAATTCTACTTTGGTTTTTTTTGGTTTACTGGTTTACACAGGAAGTTATTATGTAAATAATACACAGGAAGATAGTAATTATTTTAATAATATTTTTCTAAGAATATGCATTTTAACCCGAGAAAAATAAATATAGAATAGAAAAAAGTGTGGAAACTATTGTTTCTCTTTAAATAGCAAGACACTGATTATTAGGAAAGGCATCTAAAAACTTCAAAGGAAAGCCAATTCAGAAGGATTCATGAAACTTGATGGATTTTAATTACAAAATTTTTTGTTAAATTCCAATTTAATGAGAATTTTACAGTTTATGATTTGATGAAACAACATGTAAAGCTATAGACAAATACTCCACATACAGAAAAAATCTTCACATATACTCTATAAACAAACATCTATATTAATATAGATTTTAAAAACTTATAAAAAAAAATAACAATAAAAATTTCATATTTCACATGTGCTTATTTAAGATTATCCTGATGGTAATACTTTCTATCCTAAAGCATATACTTTGAGAAATTGTTTTATTGAAAAAATATTCAATAAAGTCATCTCCAAATTATTCAGACTTAAATTTGATTGAAAATGTATGAAACATTACCATGTCATTAAAAATATCCTAAGTAAGAACATTCCAGAAGAAACCAACAAATTTTGTAGAATTTGAGAATGGCAACTTTATCAAATTAAAAAAAAAAAATAAATAAATCCAGAGAGTTATGTAAAACACTCTGCAAGGAAATATATAAAATACATAATGTTAATTTGGACTATTATGATTTCTAAATAAGTTATAAATTATAAGTCTTACTTTAAAATGAACTTTATGTATTAAACTTAACTAAAATGATACAACTGTATTTTATAATTAAAAATAATCAAACATTTATTATGAGTTTTGAAATATAATAGTTGTTTGTAATGTTGTATGTATTAAAGATTTTTGACCAGGGTTTGTATATTGAAACAACTGTAACTGTTAATATAGATAGTTGTAGAGCATTTAAGTATTCAATTTTTTTAAATTTTTAATAATAGATTAGATATTTCATTTGATATATCTTTTATAATTGAAACCAATTTTACAGTTATTATTCTGAAGTAAGTATATGTAATATTGAAATATATATAATGCTATTTTTAAATGAACTAAATCAAAATTATAAGACCACATTTTAGTATTTTAGTTATGGATGTTTCAATTATTGAAAATGTTAATTAGAACTGTGCCTTACATAAAGTTGGCATTTTATAACAGAAGTTCTGTGATATATAAAATAGTGATAAGGCAGCATGATATAAAAAAAATGCAATTTACAGAATGTATTTTTTGTACACACAGTTATATCTAAATAAAAATAACTTTCAAACAAATTGTTGTTTTCATAAATGTTATTTTGTAGAAAAAATATCATGGCATAACATTGAAATTTTAGAACATACAGTAAAGGAACAGTTTTGCAAATGATTTAATTATCATTTTAAATTAAAACTCAAAATTAATTTGAATACAATTATGTAAATTGACTGAGAAATCTATAAAAATGTATACCTTTACTTTATGAATTTTATTAAATTATTATCCAGATAAGTTATTTAATGTTCAAATTATTTTCCAAAAATATTTTATATAAATACAGTAGAGCCTCGAAAACTCAGCACTCCGGATAANCCTCGCCTTACGTCGGTAATTGGTTCCAGGAGAACGACGTAAGTCGAATTTACTTGTCTCCGAATCTACTTGTCACTAGGCTAAACCATAAATTTCCATTCCCGGTTCTGTATTTTATTTATTAATGCATTTTTAATAATATATGGTTAATAAAAATCTATTTTAAGCTTACAAACAAATAAATTTTAGTTTTTAATATAGTACAGAAAAAAGTATTCTAAATTTACGAATGCATGTACTGTACTGTAAATACAGAACATACTAGTATATATTTTAATATGATTCTATGTGCTTTAAACGTTTTTATAGTGATATTACGACTTCAACATTTGTGGCGGACAGACGTAAAGTCGAATAAAATGACTTAAACTTGATTTTTATTTTTCCATATACTTTTTTGACAAACGACGTATAATCGTGAACGACGTAACTCGAAACGACGTAAGTCGAGGTATGCCTGTATACTGTATTATTATATGATTGCAAAAATGTTGAAAAAAACAAAATGTTTATTTTGACATTCAGTTTCTTCTAATTGGTAATAATTTTTATAAAATTATTATTTCAGCTACCCAATAGTGCTGTTTTTCTCAAACTTATCACAACGACTTCTTTAGGTTAAAAAAAGAGTAAAAAAGGAGAGTTTAAGTACCTTTAACAAAATGCATTTCGGACTCATATTGTCAGTTGTTACTATATTAAACTGTACAAAAAAAGGTACAAATAAATTCCCGATTTTAACAACAACATTATTAAAATATAAGAAATAAGATAAATTTACATTTAGTGCACAAACCAAACCAAACAGCATTTCGCTTTCAAATCTTCAAATACATTATAAAAATCAACAAGACATATACGATAAGAGGCTAATCTTTACCTATGTGCACCATCATGGCCACACAGTGGAGACCCACGTTCACAGTGGAGGTTAGAACGTGGGTCTCCACTGTGCGGCCATGATGGTGCACATAGGTAAAGATTGACCCCATAAGATAAGCACACATTTAAAGTATAAATAAAATACAAAACGAAGAACTTTTACCTCACTTTTACAGGGTACTTAAACATTATTGTAGTTCCTCTGTTGGCTAAAAATTGACACTGAGAGGGGTGTAATTGCATATCATTACAGTATTTTAAAATTATTTTAAAATGTTTATTTTGAAAACTAACGTACATATTCTTTACATACACACAAACTTGGTATTAGTGTAGAGATTGTCTGTTTAGACATTTAAAATTATTTTAAAATGTTAACTGTAGTGATTTTACAATTGATCTTTAGCTATTTTTGTATATTATCATCATCAATTGTTCTATATCCATTTGGATTCATCTTTTGCCATCTCCAGAAATCTTCACCTGTTATAAATAAAACTCTTGATTTATTGTTTCTCTATAAAGCCCACTGCAAATGAGTCAATGTGATTGCTTTAATGTGTAGACAAACTGGTTTTTATGTCAAGTGACTGTTTGATTACTGCTAATGATTGCCACAGATTGATAATAAACTGTGCATGAGCATTGTTAATAACCAAATGAAAATATCCAATAAGTTTAATATGCTCTTTATAGAACAGACTTTTTACCTTTTCTTGAAACCTTGAGTCCATTGTTCAATTGCAGGCAAATTTGCTTCAATTTGAAAGGAGACCAGTTTGCTTTGATGTTGACTCATTTGTACCAGGCTTAAGATTGTTGGAAAAATTAACTTACACATCTTATCCAGTCCATATTTGGCTTTCCATTCAAGTTCTTTTTCAGCTAGAGTACAATCTCCCCAAATTTCTGAAACATCACCCAATCTCCTGTCATTGATCTTATAGGGTATCTGAAATTATAAGTAAAAAAAAACTTTTATTTTAAATTGCTTCTTGTCTAATTGTTTGTTAACCATAGTAAATCCTAGATTTTCCAAAATTGATATTGTATATACTTATTAAATCTCTCTCTTATCTCAAGAAATTTGTTATTTTGATTAGTAGTGAATGTTTTTCACTAGTGGAAAAGCTCAACATATTAAAATGCAATTCATAAAAAAAATTGGCAAAAAAGACTTCACTGCCTATGCAATAACCATTCTACTTTGTGCTTGCAATTTCCCTGCTATATGAACTAAGTTTAAAATTAGGACATTTAAAAAAGTTAAACTAAATTTAAAATTATTTCCTACATAACAGCTGTAATATTATTTGATAAGTAAAAGAAATGAAATAAAATTATAGTAAAAAATTGTGTTCCTGGGTGGCTAACTGATTCAAACAAAAGATGAACTTCTTTATGTGGTAAAGACTTGACAGATTGTAATTGTTAGGCTATTAAATAAGATACTGAAATTCTGTTTTGTTTATTCAATTATTGTTTAGAAAACATTGTGAAAATTTATTTTACTAATGGATCTGACTTGAAGATTATTCAACAATTTGTGAATCTTACAGCGCACTATTTCTAAGTTTAAATAATTTAGTACTCTTAATACCTTACCCTTATTAGCTATTGCTTTTATATCTGCTTATTATTAATTAGCACTTTTTTAATTAATTTTGAAACTGTTCAATAATTTAAATGTTTTGTCATTAAGTTTATGCAATATGTGTATTTAAAAAGTTTTAATGTTAGTATTTACTTTTAAAATTAAATTAAATGTATTTTTTCATGTTTATTTGCCAGTTTATAATTTATTATTATTATTTGATGTGTAATAAATTCATGATGAATGTACCATTTTTTGAGCATTTGTATAAGCAGATATTGGCCTAAGATAAGTCAAAGACATTGCTTGTTTATTGAAATTTTGGCTTCCAGAAAAAGCAATTTCACATTTTAATATAGGTTACAAAAATCAAAGTGAACACTTTTAAGTGAATAATGTTGTAGAGTAATGAAAGTGATTTGTATAATGATGTTGGAGATGTTAGAATAGTAGAAAGTCTAGTGAGTGCATGTGTCCAGAACAGTTATCTAGGACAAAATAATGAATAAGAAAATAAGTGATGGAACAGTTGGGATAATTAGGAGTGTTTTAGAACTTGGGTGGTCCTTCAGACAAGTTCAAAAGAATTGAAGGACAAAAACATAATACATTTCCATTGGATAGATTTCAAACATTAAAAATGGTAAGCAGAGAGCATTTGGACAAGGATCAAAGCAAAGCAGTTGTGGTTGAAAATGTATCCTACCAAAGGTGACATTACAGAGACTAGACTAGACTAGACTATGGCCAGTATGGAGAACCCATTAATGCAATCAGGAATGGGACAAAGGTTTGATGTTAGTCAACAAATAACCAATTACAATCTAAAGGAAATGGACCTTAATCTTGCCAAGAAACCTGCATGCCATGAGCTTTCCAATGTATCCATCCAAGAGAGATACTGCAGGTCTTGGCCATTCTAATATCATGTGCCAAAGAAAAGTTGGTAGCAAAGTTTATCACAACTGACAAAGCTTGTTCTATCTCACTAAATCTCAATGCAAGAGGAAGGTCTGCTATATTAACAGGAGCCAAAATCACTTCAAAGCACTACCATCAACTTTGGCATCTCATCCTCAAGGGGTTATGGTTTGGGCTGGAATTTCAGTGAAAGGACCAACAAAGCTAATTTTGTGAAACCTGGGACAAAAATATCATCAAAATACTACATAAAGAAAATCCTTCATCATTTCTTCCAGTCAGATGCCAAGAGACTGTTTCTGGATGGCTACTTTGTGTTTTGTTAGGATTCTGTGCTTTCCCATATGGCAAAGTCTACAATTCCATTCCTGTAAGAAAATAAAATTGCATTTATCAAACCCTCACAATTGTTGCCAAACAGTCCTGATACTGCTCATTGTGATTATTCTGTTGGGATTACTTGAAACAAAGAGTAAAGACAAGAAATATGCACACATTAAGTGGAATAAAACGTTCATTCAGGTAGAAATTATAAAAGTCCCCTAAGAGATGATAGATTGGGCTCTAAAGGCTTGGCCACATAGATTGAGAGTATGTATTATACAAAAGGTAAATGCATTGAGAAACACAATTAAATGTAAGATTTATAGCAAAATAAAAGTGTTCACTTTTGTTTTTTTGTAGATCAGTAGTTAACAACATGATGCCTGGATTAAGTAAATTTGAAGATATTTAATATTATTTTAAATTGTATACAAACATTACTTTAAAATGGATTTTTACATTGTACAGTTTAATAATTGAATCAAATAAATTAAAAGTGTAATTACATCATATTCAGTTTTGATTTCATTAATTAAATACAGGAAAGTAATGTTGCTATGTGTAAACAAAACAAAAAAAAAAAAAAGTCAAGATAGGACTATAATTTTAAATGTATACAATTATTTTTAGTCCAACATTAACTGTACAGCAATGAAAACAGCAACAAGTTTATGGCTTACTAGGATAACAATTTGTGTATAGTGTCTGAACTGTCAAAGTTCTCTGAAACAAGTTATTTTAGGTATAATTATCTGAGATTTAACAGCTGTCAAGATGCAGATTCAAATAAGAGTGTAATTAATAATTTTTCAATTGAAGTGTGTAAAAAATAAAAAATGATTAGTTAAAGTAAATTAAAGTGTAGATTCAATGTATAAAAATGAATAGGAGAGAACAAAAGATGAGATAAGAGTACATGTATCTTTGGTGGTATTGAAAAAAGTTGCAGTGCTGTAATATGTCTATTGCACATGTTTTCTAATGATACCCTTAGTAATTTTACACAAAGGAAAAACAGCTTGATGAGTTTGCAGTTGCAATTTAAAGTTTGCATATCATACCACTTTCAAATTGGTTTTAAACACACAACCCATGTAATGTTTCTCATTGTTCATTTGTAGAAAAATGTGTTAACTAATATATTGTACACATGTTAATTTCTATAGACTAACTTATGCATATTAATAGAGTGTGAGAAAGGAAAAAGGATATTGAACATTATAGATAAGTTTTAAAATAAAATAGTAGTTATGAAGAAATAAAAGCTAAGACAAGCCTAAGTTGAATAAAGACAGTAATAATAATATAAATATATTTAAATTTACTGACCTTTTTACCACAGGCTTTCTCAAAAGCTTTCACTAACTGAAGTACAGTAAATCCTCTACCTGTTCCTAAATTATATACCTGAAATGTTTTCTTTGTTTATTAAATAAAAAACGTTGTTTGAAAATGTTTAGAAAAATGTATAATTTACTTTATATCTTGGATTTTCTGTTAGTTTCTTTATTGCTGCAACATGCCCTGATGCTAAATCCATTACATGAATGTAATCTCTTACACCTGTAAAGTATTTAGTTTTATAGATATAATTATTTTTATTATTATATAAATACTTTCATTTGAAAGATTTGAAGTATCCACTTATTAACAGTGATCTGTAATCTATACTATGCTTCAATTCTGTATTATCAATATCAACAGTCAAAATTTTCTAGGAATTATCACATCCACAGCCAATGTAATCACCAACCAATCAACAGCTTTATTTTACCCATATACATTTAGGAAATTAAAATATTTTCCTGCTCTGTGGATATGAAAGTAATAAGGACTATGTGTAACAAAATATTGTTTACAAAAGAATAAAGATGAAAATGGTTTTAGTATGAAAGTATCAATAGTTAAACAGTTGGAACATTGAAATTGGAAATGTATCAGAAAATTGTTTGTGCCATTTTTTATTTGTATGGAAGAAACTCGCTGAGGCAAGAAATATAAGTTCTGAAATGCATCTAGGTAAAATAAAGTTGTCCGATTGCTTGTTGATTATGGCATCTATGGATGTAATAATTCTTGGAAAATTAGGGTATTTTGACCATTTACTGTATATATTGATACTGTTATGAACAATGAATTTGATTCTTTAGCCTTATCTAGTTCGGATCTTTTTTTCCAATATAATATATCTTTATTAAATTTTACTGAATAAACTTTTGTCTGTAAAACTAGAAGTTATAATTATTTAAAAAATTATTAGCATTATATGTGATACACTTTGATAGTCCAATATCTTCAACTGTCTCCATATCTCCCTACATTGTCTTCTGATGATGTAAAAATTTATATTGAATCAAAGAATGATATATTTCATGAAATCTAACTTATTAAATCAGTAAGAATGTCATTATGTGGCTTCAACAGAAAATTGAGTCATCTGTCATTGATAGTATATTGTTATGAATGCAATGATTTTGTCTCTTTGAGATTAGATATAAGTTACAAAGAAGAGATCCTATATTAGGAATATCAATTACAGAAAATTTAACTGGATTTTCATTATTAAAATTTTGAGAAATATATAGGATTGATTAACCAATTACATAGTCTTGCAGGTTATTCATAACAGTTCATTTGCCTACTTAATTTTGAAAGATTTGAAGTAGTAATTTACTCTCAAAAAATTTAAGAAACAACTCAAAAAAATAAACTTCAATAACTTTTAATAAACAATCACCTGTTCCATCTGGTGTGTCATAATCACCACCAAAAATAACCAATTCATTCTGTTTACCAGCTGCTACTTCCCCAATATATGGCATGAGATTAGTAAAGGCTCTTGTAGGATCTTCTCCAATTAATCCTGAGGAATGAGCACCAACTGGATTGAAATATCTTAAAGAAATGATATTCCATTTCTGAAAATATATCAAAATGGATAAAATGTCAAAATTTATAAACTTTTTGTTTGAAGTTGAATTAAAGCTTGTTTATGGAAATTATCTCTTTGTTTCAAAACAAAATACTTTGCAGTTTTTATGTGGAAGATTACTTCTATATTAAATAAAAACTAAAGATTGCAATTTTAAATAATGTTAGATAACTAAAAAATAATATAGCATAATATTTATATATAAAACTGACAAAATTTTTTGGCTATGTTATTTTTTGTACACATTTAATTTTAGTTCATTATTTTCTGATATTTAAATTTTTAAGTTACATCAAAAATTGTGAATATATTGTAATGCTTTATTTCCATTTAACCAAATTAGTCAGTTTATTCAAATCATTTTCATAAAATTAACAGTTACAGATAAACAGAAGTCCATTTCTACTTTTTTAAATGTTAGTTTTGTGAAAATATGTAATAACTGATTTAACTGAATTTTTGCTCAGTTAGTTTTGAATAAATTTTGTTTCCTGTTACTGGCAAATACAGGAGGGTGCAAAAGTAGGTATACAGCTGCTGTTATGGGAAAAAACATACAGAGAAAATAGGAAGAAAAAACATTTATTTTTATGTACAAATTAAATTACAAATAAGGAATACGAACTAATAAAAGATGATAAAAATAATAATAATGATCACCAAACATTTGTGTTTCTCAGATTATCAACTGTATACCTACTTATATATTGGAACAGATATTTCATATTTGTTCCCATTTTGCACATTAAAGTTAATTTAGTCCCACATCAGGCATGAAAATAAAATTTGTGTATTTACGTTTAGTATCCTGTACTTATTCATATAATAAATAATGTAGTAAACTTACTAAAATTCACTTTTTGGTTTTATCATATAAAGCACTTGACTCTGATTATCTATTCTACACTCATATTAAAGTTTTACATCCAATTCTGTTCATTAAATTACAAGAGAAAATTTTGATATTGCTGTTCAAAGATTAAATGAAACTTCGAAAAAAGTCTTTTACTGTAGATTAAGAAAATAAATGTATATCGCAGTATATACAGCGTGATTAATAAAGGTCTTATGATAAGAAGTTATTCGGCTATCTTGCAATACTTCAGTAACTTAGCGCAAGAAATGATGAAATCGGGCAATTTTATCATCACTAGGAGACGAAATTATGAAGCAAGCAAATTGGAATCATCTCAAATCATGATTTTTAAGTTTGAAAAATTTAGAATAAAATTTATCTACATTGATATTGATGTAATTAAATGAAGTGTTTTAATAATTGTTCCAGTAACTGAAGGACACTGACGTGCAAATAGTAGCTATTAGCAAGGTTGCGGTCGAAGTTTTCACGTCGAGCGTCGCTCCTGAAAACTTCGTCCGCAACCTCGCTATTGTTGATACTCGGTACTCACAAGAATACGAACTATCGAATGTCATTTTTCGAAAATATTTTAGGGAGAAGGTGGTATTATGGAACCCCTCCATTTCAAACTGGTAATAAAGGCGAACTGTAGTGGATTGTGGCTGAACTGAACTAGGCAGACATCCCTAGCAAGGGGAAAACCCGTTTCACTTCAGTTAAATGGTTGTCCGTAGTGAATTAGCATATTTGTGTTTTTCGAAATTCGAAAGTTTTGAATGCTAAGTGAATTTAATTATTTCTAAAATATAAATCGTGTAGTTGTAGGTTCACTGGTGCATGTATTCCGTTCCAGAGACTTAGGGGTGCGTATTAATCTGTGTGATGATCACGTTTTTTAAAATTTGGTCTTGACAGACATAAGTTAATTCAAGATGGCGATGCATAAAATACGGACCCTATTGATGCTTTTAATATGGAACCCGTATAACTCTTGTAAAAGTATGTGGTAGATGAATGAAAAAATAGAAGGAAAAGGAAAAATATAGATACCTAACACTATAGGAGCATTATATTTGTGATTTTTGTAAATGATTAGCTTCTTCTTTGTACATTTCTTTATTATTATTAAATCATTTTTGCGATAAAATACATTGGAGTAAATAATTTTGTAATTATTTAACATTCTTTGTACTTTCCTATTTGTTTTTGGATACATTAAAGCATTTTTTCTGACTTTTTGTACAGAATCCTTCAAAAACCTTACTTATAGTTACACTAGCGAAAAATCCAATTAGGAACATTCAGTTTAACAGTTACCAGTACTTTTCGCACAAAAAATGTGGGTGTAGTTATGATACCTTGTTTACAATTCCCTATAATGAAAATGGTGTTCCATAATACCACATAATACCCCTTCTCCTCTAATTGTTACTAGAGTTTGAGTCTCGGCTAGCCCACCAGAAGCCGAGTAGATAACAACACTGAACGCTTGTAGTTGGTCGTGGATCGAACCCAAGATATGCATGATTAAATAGCCTCTTAGTGTTCACAGGACAAAAAGATAAAATTTATATATATATTGGTGCCTCGTACTTCGAATTTAATTCATTCCAGGAGGCCGTTCGAACTCTGAAGCATTTTTTCCCATTAGAAATAATGGAAAGCGAATTAATTCTTTCCCAACCCCAAACAATAACCATTTCGATAAACTTAAAACGGCAAATGTACATAACTTGAGGTAAAAATAATGCAATTTGCCGTAATAATAAATTAAAACACGAAAACAATAAATAAAAATACGTATATGATATATAATAAAATGAAAATTGCATTTATTGGTCGCACACTGTCGACTTCGGAATCTTAAATATGGCCGCCAGATCCGCCATACACGTATGTGTACACGAAGCATAAAAGCGGTACACCTATCTGTACTGTTTTCATGCTTCGCGATAAGTTCCTTTTTCATCTTACTTGTTAGCCTTTTTCAAGCCTTCCTCATACTGGTTAGACTTCATTGCTTCCACACACTTCTCGGATGCCGTGATTATTAGTAAAGGTTATATTGGGTTGAACAGAAAGTTTTTGCATTTTTTTTAACAGTTGTTACTTATCATAGATGTGTGATTTAATTATAACAATTGTAAATTTTAACACATTGCTAATTTGAGATTATATTCTTTGATCAGACGCTTATTTTATGCCTCAAGTGCATTTTTCATTCCACGTGCAGGTAGAACTTTGAAGCATCGTTCGAATACCGAAGCGATTTTTTGTCGAACTTGGCATTCGAACTGTGAAGCGTTCGAAGTAAGAGGTACCACTGTATTTATATATACATATATTTAGTACTTTTCCATGTTCGTTACACTATATGAAAATTAGCTGCTACTAGTATCTTCCATCATCTTTATCAATATTTTAACTATTACTTCTACAGTCCTTCTTTTAATGATATATACATTGTAGTTTAATTTCCAGTAATTGGAAATCTTTCAGGATCCTTGCTATTCCTAAAAAATATCATAAATCTTATTGTCCAATATCTACAGTATTTCCTCTGTTGTTTTGGAAATATTTGAATATTGCATATTTGATTTTTTATTGATAAAATTGTCAAGACAATAAGTTTACATTTAAAAAATTTCAATAAAGACAATACATTAAAAAGTGATTGTTTCGTCTTCACTCTTCAGGAATTAACATTCTTGCGGTGGAGTCGACCTTCTCATCCATCCAAATATGCAAAAATGTATAAAAATATTTATTGTGGAGATGGCACTTAAAATTGCATAAAATTTTAAGTGCCATCTCCACGGGTCGACTCCGCCTGAAGATGGAGAGAGGACGAAACAATGACATTTTAATGTATTTTTTTGGAAGTTTTTTATTCTTTGTTTACTATTGCATCATGGTTCAAACACTCAACATTGTGGTATTTGGCACCGTGCTATTTTAAACAATTTACTTATTACTAAACAAGAAATTGTAACTAATTTTGAAACAAAAAATTTATATTTTATACATACTAGAAGATATTAGTCAGGCATATGATTCCATTCTTCTATCTTGCTATATTCTCTCAAATTATTTAGCCATAATTGCATGGATTAACAATTAGGTATACTTTTTACTCTGTTTATTTCGGATTAAATTGAGTGACTTCAGTTTCTGCGATCTGTGTGCGACACATCCTAAGGTTTCGTTCTTAGTATTAATAATTTACTTTTTATCGCTTATTATCCCGAATATCAAATCTAGCATCGCTGCATATGCTTATGACATTAAGATATTTTGGAATCACTTTTCGTAATTTCTGATCTTAATATACAGTTGTCCCTCTGTAGTCCGACGTTTTTTAATCCGACATGCTCAGTAGTCCGACGCACCTCCCGTCAAGGTACCCGTCCCCGTTACGTGTCTGCTTGCACAGAAGCATGTCACGATGTGAATCTCCCCATCCAATTCTTACTCGATGACACACATTTCGTGTATTTTATGTGAGCAGTTCTGTTCGAACAGTTGGAGTAGAGAATATTAAGTTACTGCTAGCAAAACAATGCGAAATATGTAATTATTTTCGGTAATCCGGACACTTTTGGTAATCTGACACACCTTTAGTCCCACACCTGTCGGATTATCAAGGGACAACTGTATTTCTTCTGTAATGAAATTATTCAATTTGAAAGCAACTGATTTATCAAGATTAATTTCTTTCTTTAGTTCCCGATCCTAATTTTTTAACTTTTTCTATTAATTTTTAATGGCCATATCATTAAATATGTTCATTCAGTCAATGCTGTTGGTATTATTTTTGATGAGAAGCTTACTTTCCATTGCTACGTTGATTCTCTTATTAGAATAAAAACTAGCAATTTGAAGAAGTATATTCTAGCTTCATTCCCATCCCATTTCCTGTTTTACGAGCTCTGTTTTTTTGTCAACTTGTAGCAAGTAATAATCAAAATTTCCAATCGGTTGTTAATTATTACTTGCTAGTTTGGGCAACCGCTGCATCAATTCTTATTTATAGTTTTTCGGAAGTCAATGAAGCCTATCTTTCAACAAACTGTCACTTACCATATAATATTCTTGTGAAACTGCCAGACCAAGACTCTGATATCTTG